CTCTTCAGGGTTCACACCTGCAACTGGGATGTTAGGTGAACCTTTGCGCTGTCCTGTAAGAACGCGTATTTCGCGATACCAGCGAGAAGGGTTACTCTTTTTATGTCTCTGAACACGGGTGGCATGATAGAAAACTTTAGCATTTTCAATAGATGATTTAACTTTATTACGTAATCGCTTCCATAAGGTATGATTCCCCTGGTCATGTGCAACTTGTCTCCTATGAATTAGTGACTTTATTTCTCCTGTCATCCATGGCTTATCATCACAGTGTAGCTTGACTTTACAAATCGGGAAATATTTATCAATTGCATCATTTAAAGTTTTATAAAAAGCATTACATTGTACATTTACATCATCATCAGTTATAATTTCAGGCCATTCATAACACGAGAGCCATTGTCCGAATGCTCTTATAGAGCTATCCGGCATAGGTCATAATCTAAGAATTCAAATGTCGCGGAAAGATCATCACAAAAAAGTTATTTTTCAAATAATATATTCTTGTTTGACCACGCCATGTCATTTAGCCCTCAAACGTACTTGCATCAGGCTATGCATTTTTTTTTAAGCGATTCGATAAAATATTACGACTTTTTGCTCACAGGTCACTCAATACACGTAGTTCGCCTTTCCTTTTCCGAGCACAGGCGATTTAAACAAATTATGATTTGTTAAACAAACTATAATATATTGTATATATTCCTTGATTTATAGTACCCGTAGAACTGATATTCAAGTATTTATTTATTTATTTTCTTATTTCTTATTTACTTGTCATTACTTTGTTTAATATTATTTGTTTATATTCATTCACTTATTTATTTATTAGTTATGACTTCATTAGAAATAAGCTAATTAAGACTATCGTGGGTTATTCATCATGCATGTTTTGTATGAAATTACAAGCGGAAATAGATAGCAATTGTGAATTTCAATTCCCAGAATTCGCCGCTATTCCATTAATCCATCAACATTGTGCGCACGCCCCTTTTCCTATCTCCTATCCCTCTTAGCCTCCCCATCTCTTCTTTTTTCTTCCCCTATCTCTTACTCTTTATAATGTCCTTTCTCTCTTCCGCTTCTCTCTCTCTCTCTCTCTCTCTCTCTCTCTCTCTCTCTCTCTTCTCTCTCACTCTATTTCCCTTCTTTTAATCCATATTGGAAATTAGATAATGATCAGCGCTCATAGGTTATCAAGTCCATGATGATTGCTTTTACAGAAATTAAAACAGAAATAGATGAGCAATTGGGAATTGAACTTCTCAGAATTCACCCTCACTGTTGTTCACCATTCGACTGTGGACTACGCTTTATCCGTTATAACCCTACTCCCATTCTTTCTTTTCTCTCTTCTTTTCTCCTCTCTCTATCCCCTCTCTGTGTCTTTCCCTTGACCCCCCCCCCTCTCTCTCTCTCTCTCTGTCTCTCTCTCTCTCTTTCAATCGGGTCACCAGGTGTGGTCGGGGTCTTAAAATATTCTTATTAAAATAATTTCTAAATTAATCTTTAAGATGGAATGTCATGTTTGTGTAATTATTGTATCACAAAACGTTAACATATAAACGTGAGCAATAGCATCATCAGGCGAAAATTACGGAAAGTGACAAAAATAAATGGTCAAGGGCAGATCTAGTACTTCGGCATTTGGCCAAAGTTAGTTAGATATCTTTGTACAGCTGTATTATAGAACAATTGTATACCAGCCGTCTTTTGTACATCCGGACCCCCCCCCCCCCCCCTCAGTGTTATTTAGGGTACGCGTATTGTTCCCTCCCTTTGGACTGCAAACATTTCTGAACCCCCCTCCCTTTCGCAGGCTTTTCCTGCCTTGGAGACCCCCCCCCCCCCCTAAATCCGGAATACTTCTCAATGTACCCCCTTTCTAAGATATTCCGAGATATTTTATAATTCTTTTTAAATTTCTCAGGAGTCCGAAGAGAAAGAGAGAAATATCCAGGTCAAATTTGAAATGCACCCCCTTTTTAAAAATAAATATTGGGCCAGACTTTGTCATGCGGAAAGTACCCCTTTACCGAAGATTTGGGAAACACGAACACTGAATAGAGGGGGGGGGGGGGGGAGAGCAGGCGCGCGGGAAGTAGTTTTGGATTGGCCGGAGGGGGGCAAACATTCCAGGGGTTCACATGCCAGTGGTAGTGGCGAAATGAGCAAAAACGTTTAGCGTCCAGAAGAAAAATCTGTATCACCACCACTCTTACATGTTAGGCCTACATGCAGGACCCGTGGAACGTTTTTTTTTCAAAGTGGAGCATTAACGATCAGGTAGAGCGTAGCGAGTGGAGCGTATATTGGCAAAGGGGTCCAGGGGCTTTGTACCGGTGGGGAAAAGAGGCGGAGTGCCAGGAAGCTGAGGGTATTTAGGCACTAACTTACGGTCTGATAAGCATATTTAGAGACCTTATTTGTGACACTGGCAGGTCATTAATTGGCGGGGGGGGGGGGGGGTCCAAGGCTGAGCCTTGTGAAGCTCAGAGGTTTTCGGCATTTGATAATAGTCAGATGAGGAATCAGGTGCCCGCCTTAAAGCTCTTGGTGGGGTCCAGAGCCCCCGGAAGCTCAGGGGTTTTAGGCATTTCATTGCGGTCAGATGAGCATATTTTAGGCATGTGACACTGGCAGGTCATTAATTGGCGGGGGGGGGGGGGGGGGTCAAAGGCTGAGCCTTGTGAAGCTCAGAGGTTTTCGGCATTTGATAATAGTCAGATGAGGAATCAGGTGCCCGCCTTAAAGCTCTTGGTGGGGTCCAGAGCCCCCGGAAGCTCAGGGGTTTTAGGCATTTCATTGCGGTCAGATGAGCATATTTTGAAACCTCATTAAATTGTGAAACTGGCGGGGCACTCAATTTTTCTTTCTCTCTTTCTTTCTTTTTCTCTTTAACATACTTTTTCAAAAAGTGAGGGGGGGGGGGGGGGGACTCGAGCCCCCGAGCCCGCCGTTCTGTAGGTCCTGACATGAAGGCTTCCAATTAAGCATATTTTTTTGCCAGACTTTGATTAAGGAATTTGTAATTTTCCAACGAACGCATAAAAAAGGTATGATTTCAAACAATTTGGGAGAGTCCCGGAAAATCATGTAATTTCAGTGAAAATGCATTTACCCCCCCCCCCCCCACTTCCGGCGCCTATGGCGGCGGGGTCCGGGAACTCGGACAGGTGACTCAGGCGGTGATTTAAAGAATTTACATACAATATTTTATAAATCTAAGACTTTTAATTGTTAGAATATATTATACAAGACAAATAGTTACGATGATTAGTACAAATTGATGCTTACTTTTCTTAATTGATTGAAAAGGTTTCAATTTGATTGCACTTCGCAGCCAAGTGTCTGAATTATGTAAAATTTACATTGACAATAATACATGCAAATGTGGTTTGAAAAACGGATCAACTCTGAAAAGAACAGAACTGTATAACAAAAACAATCCTGACCAACATGACTAAGGTAATAACAGACAAAAGGTAGAAGACAGAGAAAAGGGGCAAATGAGATTAAATTAAGATGTGAGGTGACACAAACAGAGGCGACCGAGCGACTTACAAAGTGGGGGGGGGGGGGGGCACCAACGAAAAAGCGAAAATATACAATTTTGTAGACATTGGTATATACCCCTACATTGTGATTACATTATCAGGGATGATTTCAATATTTCCTCCTCTTTGTATAGATCATCGATATCTTGCTTAATCATCGTAATTTGCAGTTGGGTGAGATGTCTGAATATTCATTTGCGAGCAAGCGCAGCGAGCAAGGAAAATGTTTAAGATTTGTGAGGTCGCAGTTCGAAAAATTACATTTTATAAAGAGGAAGAAAGAAACAATCATGATTGGAATATAAGCACATTCTCTAAAGGAAGACTGAACTGACCTTTGTTAGGTAACACTAATTATATCATCTATAACTACGGGCGAGTGTAGCGAGCTTCGGAGGAAATTGCTCTTAGTCGCTTGAAATTAGGGGCACGTTTGATGATGAGAGGAAAAGGGGACACTTATAGAAAGGGATAAATAAAGACACTTATTTACCATAGAAGAAAATGGGCACTTATAAGAATGTAAAGGTACACTTTTCATAGGTGAAAGGGGGGCATTTATGAGAAGGGGAAGGCCCTCTTATTTTTTTTTTAATGGGGGCACTTATCATAAGGAAAAGGGGCACATGTTAAAATTAAAGGTGCGCTTATCCGAGTTAAAAAGGGATAGTTATTAAAAGGGGAAGGGGCACTTCTTACAAAGGGAAAAGGGCACCTCTCAGTTTTGAAAAGGGCAATTATCAGACTTGAAGGGAGCACTAATAAAAAGTGAAAAGTGGCACTTTTTCGTACCTGAACGGGGCACTTAGGACTAGGGATTAATAAAGGCACTTATGAGAATGGAAAAATTGACAATTATTGAAAAATTGTCGAAGGGTCAGAGGCACGTGTAAACAAAAAGGGGCACTTCAGAGGTGAAACAGGGGGAGGGGCCTTTTTATAATGGAATAGGGGGACTTTTTATAGTAAAAGGGACACTTTTCGTATGCTAACATTGGCAATTTTGGGTACTTGAAAAAGTGGGGGGGGGGCACTGTGTCCCCTCTGGGATGCTCCCCGTTTGTGCGTGTGGGCTTTTGTGTTTGTGAGGGAGGCCCCTCCCACAAGCTCCCCGCCTTCGTCGCTTTTTTAATTTCAGAACTCCTCCCCCTCCCACCCTCACACACACACACACACGCATTGACACACGCACATGTTCTGATTGTTCGATTCTAGAACCGCGCCTGCGCTGCAGGAAGGTTATTTTCTCTCAATTATCGACCTACTTCTTTAATTATACGCGTGAATCTATGTCTGTTACAACTTTAATTTAGGTCACGTCAAGGGTTCACTTGTCTGGGAATGTGCGCGTATCGCGCGCGTGCGGCATGATAAACGTCATTTACGTATACGATTGATGGTCGGATATTGGCGTGCGCCCCGCGCGTTGAACTTTTATCCCGCGTATTTTCAAAACGCCACGCACGAAGATATCGAACGAAGGTCAATCTTGCCATTACAATTTACTTTAGCGTCGAATCTGTTCTGAGTTTTGAATTATATTTTCTCGGATTCGGGGGCAGCTGAACTGTAAGTCGGAGGTTTTCGTTCTCGACATTCTCAGCAGCCCGTGGCTCAGTCGTAAACTAAAATCAAGATGAATCGACAATTGGACGACGACAGCATGCAAGATCAGGATAGTCGGTAGGCATTTAAATTTAAATTTACTCAGACTGTCACGTTCTTCCACAATGAATTCGTCTAAAAAAACACCAGGCGTAGATCTAGGCGTTGTAGACTTGAATGTGTTTCACATTAAATCTAAAGTCTAACAGTTAGATCTAGATCTAGTTAGATTTCTCTCATGATGCAGTTGGATCTTAATTTGTAGGCCTAGATTCTAGTCAATATTCAATTGACAAGTTCATGATCAACCTGATGATCGCGGTCTGAATTCGGGATTCTGATTCAGTCTGAAAGTGAAACAATTTTTTTTTTTTTTTTAAATGACCGGCGGTACGGTGCGCGGAAAGTCTTGCCGTTAATCACGACCTTTCACTCAAATATGAACCTACGATTAAAACTAACCAAAGAGAAATCAATAGCCTACATTCTAGAAGCATCTGGGGAAAACCCGCGAACATAACACACGAATTCCTATTAAACATGACAACATACCACTGAAAACCAGACACAAAAGATGACAAATCTAAAATGGCATCTACCGCCAATATGACGTCATAGCTAGACTTTGACCAATCAGACAGCGGCATACGGCAGCTGCTCTAATTAGTATGTCGAAAATGCAAATTTTTGGTGTGGCATGTTCTCTCTTCCCTGCAACTCCTTGACGAACATCCCGGAGGAAGTAACGCCGATAACATGGACACATCTAACTATTCCACAAACGGTACAGATTATTCACAACAATCAGAATCACAAGGACAATCTATGGATCACTCAGAAGATTCAAGGGGAGGTCGAAAGGCAGGGGAACGAATTTATGCGTCAAAAGAGCAAGAAGATGACAAGTAAGTTCGCCGATTTTCGTGCATGCATGCCACGGGCTTAGCGTCAAGCAAGCATGCCCATCGTGTGTCACATGACGAAGCGAGCTCAGCGTGTTTTTGTGTGAAGCTTTTCTGACAAAGGATCGCTTGTATTTGGAAAATATTTGTTGGAAGCGTTCGACATGATTGTGAATAATGGTGTGTTTTAGCTTAGCCATGGGATTTAATCGAAGTCTCCTACGATGAAATCGAGAATGAAGAATCCCCAGTGATCATTTTTACTGTTTTAACTGAAAGTGTACGGCCAAAATCGAGGGTTTTTGTAGAGTCTACGGCATAACTGCTGGCTCACAAACGAAACGTGCATGTTTTAGACCACGTGCGATACACAATGACAGTGCATAACAGATGGATGCGAGCGAGCGCGTCATGCCTCGCTCTGTCATAAAGCAATCTCATTCACTACATGTAGCATGCAGTTTGCGTGGTTTATGACTATGGGGATGGGTAAAATCATTTGTCCATGAACGAATGGCTGCAATCAAGCCAGTGTATTGCCTCTTTTTATATTAAAATGAAGGTCTAGGAGTAGGATCTCTGGTATTGATTTTAGTGTTCACCAAAACTATACAGAATTATGAATTTCAGGCATTCCACCGTTTTTTTTATGTGATTATTATTAGGGTGTCTGAACGATTTTTCAATTTTCAATTTGGGATCGTTTTTCACCATTTTTGTTTGATATTTGAATAAAAAATGATATCAGAATAATACATTTCAAATTTCAAGTCTCACCGATGTTTCTATCAAAAGTAACAGCCCCTCCAAAACGCTGGTATATTCATATCATTTTGGTCAAAATCGACGAAAAAGACGTCCACGCAGAGTGATGTTGTTTTGCTAAATTTAGCCAAACAGCTGTATCGCGCGATATGCAAGCGTATGCATATCGTACGCATGCTGCTAAGCCAATCCGCGACTTGCAGCTTGAGCTACGCTGTCTCCGCGACATGTGCCATTGACTAGTATGGTTGGCGTTCGTCGCACAAAAAACCCGGAAGTGAATGCACGTTATAGTCAATGGCAATATCGCGGAGATGTCTCCGCGATATTGCCATTGACTATAACGTGTATTCACTTCCGGGTTCTATGACGGGAACGGCCACCCATACTTTCATTCACTATAAGCGCACATGTTACGCGATGTAACCATGGTTTGGACTGAGCGGAGCTCACGCCTCCCTAATTAGCTGATTCCAAAAATGTGGGAAGGGTATTTTCAAACTGTTATAACAAATGATCCCTTGGGGCTAGCGAAAAAAAAAGCATCTGGATATTATCCTTACGTCTAGCCCTGCTTAAGCCGCGGGGCGGCAGCTCAGGAAAGTGGCAAATTTTGGAGCTAGGATGCAAACAACATTTCAATCGCTGTTTTGACCAAGATATTTTTAGAATTCTGGGGGTGGCCCCCGATGGGGAATATGGAGAAAAACCTGCTCTTTCATATGACACCTCATTTATTGAGTTTCACCTTCAGGATCATTTGTTATAAAGGTTTGAATTTCAAATTTTTTCATAAAATCATTGACCAATTTTGGATGGTCGCGCAATGCACGTAGACCACATAGGGAAGCGTACAATCTCTATGGGAAGGGTTTTAGCACACAACATTGGGTGCGCGATCAGACACCCTATTATTATCTGTCTCGAGAGAGAATCAATTTCACGGCCATATTGTTGTGATAAAAACAGAGATTATATTATTTATTAACATGATCATGGTGATAAGTGTTTAGAAGTAACCAATCGAAGGCTACTCACTCAAGTCTGAATACATTTGAACCATTTTTTTGCTTATTTTGCATGTTGGAACTGACTTTGATGTGAATCTAAATTTTGATCATGTTTACGGTATAGACTATGTTCACTTTTATCATGTTAAAATAGGAATAGGAAATCACATGAAATCAGTTTCTCATTCATGTTATCCGCTGTGATCAATAAAGCTCCCTGAGTTTCCATTCAGTTTGATCTGTTGGCAAAAATGTCTGTTTTAATTACGGTAGTTTAAGATGTGCTGAAACAAATTGGGTAGAACTCTGGTAATCATGTAGAATCTAGGTTAAATCAGAAGATTTAGAAGAAGCATTATTTTTAATATTTTAATTTTGTTGACTTATGGCAGTTTTTGTAAATATCAGTAGTCTAGTTTTTAATGTACCAGTAATTTTTCTTCGTGTGTGTGATATATGTTCCCCTTCCACTTGATGTTGTCTTACTTGTCTAGCAATGCCCCTGCAAAGAGCAACATTTATCATGTTAATTATCTGAAATTGTGTGATCATCATATAATCAATCATAATAACAAGTAATGGTTTAAAAATAACAAAGTGAATTTAGGAAGTAAAATAGTAAATGCCTAATTTTACATGTAAATTAGTGGATCTTTGAGAAAATGTGAACAGTAAAGAAAATCCACACTTTCAGACTGTACAAATAGACAGTTTTTCAATTTTGTATGAATGTGTCTGCTGCAGTGCATACATGTACATGTAGTCAGATGAAGATAAATGCATCATACTGTACATGATTGTACCAAGAATAGTGAGTGAAATGTTAACATTTTGTGCAAAGGAAATCCTGTTGAAAAGAATGAAATATATGTAGTTTATGAAAAAATTACCCTGTACTGAGAGAAGAGTGGGCATTCAATTACATTCGTTACCTGTACCAGTGAAAAAAATACACAGGCTCGGGGTGAATTTGCCTCCGAAAATAAGAAAGAACCCCAGTAAATTTGCATAGAGTTCAATGCAAACAAATTTTAGAGTGTTATTTTTATGCAGGCAAGCTTGAAAAGTAGCCCCCGAAAAATAGATATTAACTTTTTCACTGACCTGTACAGTACTATGATGCATTTATCTTCATCCGACTATTATGCAAAAACACATCTGTGTAACACAGCAAGCCTAAACCATTGCTTTTTCTCACATTTTGTTGTTTCGTTGGAATTTGCCAAGCAATTCTGACAATGGTGAAAAATCTAAAAATCCTCCCTTGGTAGTTTGGTCTCTTGAAACTGTGGACCAAATTTCACAGATTTTGCAGTGTAAATAATGTCTGCTCTCAAATCGTTAGTGCACTGTTCTGTTTTTTAGGTTTTTTGACTCTCCTTGTATCTTTGTGATCGCATACAGAGCAGTGACAACTGATCAGTCTGGCATGTGTACTACATGTACTCACCCAAATTCAGAAGGAGCAAGGTGTTTTTTTATTTTTTACTGCCATTTTAAATTTTTTTTAAAAAATATCAAAATGGTGTTTGGGCTTTGTAAATGGGCCTACCGGTATTTGATATTATCTTTACTGTAATATGTGAAATGGTAGTGTTAATGGAGGGGGCATAGCAATAGTACATGTACATGTGTACATTGCATTTAAAGAGAAGGTTGAGTTCTGGGAAGAGGTGAACAATAATTTGTGAGCGTTATCATTCTTATTAGGCAAGTGTGGAAGAACATCAGGTAAGACATGTTCCCTGAAAAGCATGGCTCTTCAAATGCCTTCATATTCTAAATATGTCATGTAACATCGTAAAACTCGGGGGTGGGATTTTTACGCCACGTGTTCGTGTAGTCCCATATACATCTTTCTGTGTACAGTGTTTGTAACTTTACCAAGACTTGGCAAAATTTCTTATAATTTTGATGATTCCAGAACCTTGCAATACACACAAATTCTTATATGCTAGATGATCAACCTTCTCTGTTCGATTCCACACCGTGTCTTTAACAATGCAATCGCATGACCAGAACTCAACTTCATCTTTAAGGCCAAATAAAAACATAAACATGTTTTGTGTCCTGCCTTTTTGAAAAATATTAAGGAGGAGGCCCTTTTTTTTCTTTTTTCAAAATGGCCGCTCGGAATATTGTTCCTAACAAGTCGGGCTATTTTTCAAGATGGCTGCCACTCTGCCAGCAATTTTTTTTATTTTTTTTATTTTTTATTTTTCAAAAATTTAACTTCAGGAAAAGATCATTTTAGTAGTACCAGTATGTTTTTTGGGTTTTTTTTTTTTTTCATTTAAAAAAAAAAAAAAAAAATAGAGAAAGAAACGCCGGCGATCCCCCCAAAAGAAGCGGGCGGGACGCTAAACATGAATTTTTAAAAAGGGCTTAACTTCATGAAAGATGCTTTTGAACTAGGCAACTAGGCAGAAAAACTTAATATTTGTGATGTGATTACGGACTTTTTTATAGTGATGAGACGAATGCAAATCTCAACTCCCCAACCAAAAGTTGGGAAGAGTTCATGTAAATGTTTCAGGTTTTAAAGTACAAACATAGAAGTTCAAATATTGCAAAAAATAACTTGAAAATCATCCTAAAAAGACCTTAAGTTTATTTTTCTTTTCAGCATTAATTTCCCATTATGTGAAATACATTGTAGATTAAGTGCATCCACAAATGAACCTTTTGAACATGTTGAGTAGTCAGTGTAATAGATTGTTGGTCAAGTCTACACTCTACAGACTGCTTGAAAATTATTCATTTATTTATGTGTCTTGGTTCATCAACACAGCCTTTAAAATGTCACTATGGAGTATGGAGGCCCTGACATTTTTAGAAAGTCACTATGGGCCCCATTGCACTTGAAACTAAACGTTCAAATACTTTCAACACAGGTCCCAGTCCTAAAGTTCATGTGAAGCCAAGCTATTTTGAATGTTATACACATTGGCCCGAATTCACAAAGGAGGTTTGTTGACAAACCTTTTGTTTTTTACAAACCAAGGTTTTGAGGGTTTGACGCACAAAAACCTCGGTTTGTCGACAAACCTCATTTGTGAATTCGGGCCAGAGTGTACGCATGTAGCCATTGGACATTGAACTTGTGCGTTTTTGAAATATTTTTTACAAGCAATAAAATTGTTAATCCATGCTCTGAATTCTGAAAACAAATGACATGACAAATGTAAACAGTCATAGCTTGACTTGCATGCAGTGTACATGTACAACCAGGAAGCTGTAATGAATGGAGATACCGTCTCGAAAGAATTTTCCGAGGGAAAATTATTCAAGATTAACCTGGCTTAACAAAAAGAAATGTAACCCTCTCCAGCCATCATTTCCATCAACAGCTGTCCATATCAATGCACAGTCCCTCTCTGGCATTCCAAATAGTACGAAATGTTACGCAACGCCATCTGCTTCCCTAAGTTCTCTATTCACTCGTTTGCAAAAATATGCAAGCATCGGGCTTTGAAGCCATGCGTGGCACCGACAAATTAAGTCATGTTCATGAAAGATGTATTTAGCTATATCATATAAAATGCAAATTTCACAACATTATGACCAATGCAACTTTCTATTAGTCATCAAATGCGTTTTCCGTTCTCGGATAGCTCTACTGAAGACATGGCCATTTTAATCAGCGAAATCGACCAAGGAAATCATGAGTTAGAGCGAATGAAAGATTTTCATAATCATGATTTTCTCATCTAATTATTGACATTTTCCGAAAATTTCCGAAATTTGTACATAGCTAGGAAGGTAGTCCAAAGGTTTATCTTCCTAAAGAACTAAATGAAATTGTGTTATATGTTTGCGCATTTATTGATTTAGGGCTAGAAGTTGTCAAGTTAGCACCACTATTCACCCAAAGTACGGGCCGGCAAAGCAAAAGCCGCCGTGCTCGCTGGGCTGGGCTGTGTGTGGAAAGGGAGGACTTAGTGCTACTAGGGAGCTGTAAGGTTTTGGAGGGGGATTAAGGGGATTACGGTAGGGGAAACAAAAGACGCGCGGTGCCACGGATGACTTCAAAGGGGCCTCTTGGACGGGATCTCCATTCATTACAGCTTCCTGGTACAACTTTGTAGTACAAACCCTGTAGTGTACTACATGACATGTAGTACATTGGCTCAAAGAGCTTCCTTGGTACAACTACAATAGAAGGGGATATATGTAAATATGTTCATGTAAGCTAGTACTGTACATGAACAATAAAAATCTATAAAAAAAAAAAAAGCTTTTAATTTTGAGACAACTTGTTCCTGACAATTTGTTTGTTCTAATACACACAGGCCTGATAATTACCTGATTTAAATTGATCCCCCCCACCAATTTCCGCCCCCCCCCCTTAATTTTGTAATATTTTTTTCCTCCCAATTTTCTTACTTGAAATGGGGGGAATGTTATGCCATTTCCCCCTGAACCCCCCCCCCCTCTTTTTTACTCAAGGGGGTGGGGGGAGAGGGGAGGGAAAATAACATCTACATTTTTCTTTTAGTGCTCACTATACATGTAGGCCCTAGGCATGTACAGACTTACAATTGTATCTACATGTACAATCTTGTATTAAATATGATACCCAGTTCTAGAAAACAAATTGCAAATGTTACTCTGTACCATTTTCACCCTGTACTATTCTCACCCTGTACCATTCTCATTCGTTTTAGAACAGAAGAGCACTAGTATAGCATTGAAAATTGAAACTTATTGTTGAGAACTTACCAAACATTATTTTTAAATGAGCTGTTATACAGTCCCGAAGTGCAAACATCATACTCTCTAGTTGTCCAGGTTACTGGTTCTAAAAAAGAGAGCCTGCACATGAGGTACTTCTTTGAGTAATTGTTTGAGCAACATGCTCGAACAAGGCAAATTTAGTGTTTGGGTCTGGTGTGGCATCCACAATGTTGTTTGGAACCAGCAACCTTGACAACTTGGTCAGTATGATGTCACACTCCCATAGTCCATACAGTGTACATGAAGTTGACTTTGTTTATCATAACCTTTGTATTGTTTATATTATTTGTGTACTTGTAGGAAACTGTTCGTTGGAGGTCTTGCCTGGGACACAACTCAAGGTAAGTTTGTACCTCACTGTGTTGACCATTAAGAGCCGGAAGGGTGTTTAATCTGCAGAAAAGAATGTGAATTAAAGGGGAAGTCTATCCTGATATTTAATTGTGTTTAAAGTTTTAATAGAAGCAGAAAAATGAGATGAGAGGTCAGTCAAAGTTAAAACAAAATCTGATTAAAAATATGAAAGGTATGAATTTCTGAAGTTGGGATCAATCAAACACAAATTGGCAACTCTTTGATGTAGCTTGTGAGCCTGTGAGGTTCCCTTCCATTTGCTCTGTCGTCTACTAAAAAAAAGATTTCTTTTTTCCCTATAGACATTTTTTTAATCATTCAAGCACCCAAAATATAATTATTGCAAATATATCTTTATACAATCCTTGTATGAAATAATCTATTCCATCATTGATAAATAAGAAAATGAAAGACTATGAAATTTTCTGAACAGAGCACCGATGACAACTTTAAAAAGATCTCTTGTTAATCTGCTTTTATCGATACCAGCTAATTTTTAGGTGGGATTTCCCCTTTATTGCCCTTCTGGCTCAATACAGATGTTTTCATGGTTATGACTTCATGTTGCTTGTTTCACATGTGTTATGTGATCAAAAAAGGGGAAGAAAAACAAACAAACATAGAAATTAAAACCAAAAATAAACAAACAGACCCTCACAACTCACAAAAAACTCACAGAGAACTACATGTGAAGAAAATTTAATCCAGTAAGTCAAGTAAATAATGGATGAATCACAAGTTTGCAGTATCTTATCTCACCGAACACAGACGACATTGACACAATTGCAAGTAAGTTGCGATTAATATCTACTCTTTATAAGTTGGGGGCCCAACCAAACAGAAGTGGCTAAATTGATCTAAATTGGATGATTAATACGATAAAAAAAGAAACATGACTGTAGATTTTAATTTTTAGATTTTTAAAATTTCCTACCCAACCATTATTGTGTTTGTGTTACAGAGAAACTTCAAGCATACTTCTCAGATTTTGGAGTGGTTGTAGACTGCGATATCAAGAGGGACCAGGTCACAAGGAAACCCAGAGGGTTTGGATTCGTCCTCTTTGAATCTGCAGACTCCGTTACAAAGGTAAGTGTGCGCGGGCGTGCATGCAGCTGCTCTATTTACAGTATAGCTCACAAGGCATTCAAGGTTTTATGTCCCATATGTTACCTTTAGGCATATTGCATATAAAATATTTCAGTATACTTCATCATTGTATTGTGTTTTCTTACTGGAGCGTAGATCACATTGTTGATTATCAAACAAAATGCTAATTTTATATTCATTATAGCGTGATACTTCGGATAGTGTATAACAAAAAGCAAGACTTGACTAACAGGCATCAGGATGCTCAAAGTCCAGACCCCAAAATGTATAGATGTTTACATACGGCTCATGCACACCCACTTTTTTGGAAAGACTCCAGACTTAAATTTTTAGAATCTGTATTACAGGTTCTATAAAAATTAACAATTCATCACAGATTCTAAAAATCAAATTCTGGATCCCCTTACAAAAAAAAAAATTGTGTGGAGCATTGCATAAAGTTACCAAACATCTTAAAGACTTGATGGTAAGCACTTTTTCTTACAGTTAAGGAGTTTACTTCTTGCTGGCTATCGGTCCTATTAGAAATTGTATACAGTACCTGTTTGTCACTATCTGGTTTGCTAGCAATACATTTTATTAATTTTGAAATCAGCAAGAATCCTTTATTGATAGACACTTTGAAAGAAATAATGCTGAGTCAACAATGGTCTGGTATGTGTAATGTGTCCAGTATTCCGTAATTGTCAGGTCACAACTAATCTTAATTGTCAAGATTTCTTTTTCTGGCTCTAGAAATGTCAGATCTCTAAAAAAATCAAGTATCATTGTTTCTTTCATGTACAGGTCCTTGGAGTACCAGAGCACAAAGTAGATAACAAGACAATCGACCCCAAGCCTGCCAACCCGCTCAAGAAGCCAGAAAAGAAGAAGAAGATCTTCATCGGTGGAATCGGCTCAGACCTCAAGGATGAGCAAATCACAGAATACTTCAGCAAATTTGGAACGGTAGGCATGATAACGCATTTTAGAAATACAAGCATTTGTAGGGCATTGTTCACATGAATATTCCAATTTGGAAAAAATAAAAATGAATTAAATTAATGAACTTGTAAGAAAATGATATTTGACACTTTTATCCTGTTTTGTAATTTGATGAATGGCAATGGCTTTCTTTCCCCTTACTTAAAAATTCCTTTCCACCAGTTTCAAAGTCTAAATAATTCAAATACATTATGGTATACATGGAGATCTATTTAGATCTCCTTTTTGCAGGGGTAAAAGGCCCCATATGCCCTTCTCATTAAAAAAATGTCAATTATAAGTATAGGAACATGTTTATATCGCTTAATACTGATTTTTTTTTTAAAGTGCCATACTATTATTAATCAATATCTGGCAAAATGTCACATACTCCGAGAAGCCATTAAAGATCAAGCATCATTAATTTCTCTTAGAATTATAGTCTTTAGAAAAAAAATTAAGTTACATCTAAAGTTTGTGGCAATGAACTGAATTATTCATACCATAGTAAATTTGATGTTTATGTGTTTTTATAACTCGAGTGAAAACAGACCGAGTATCCTAAAAAAAAAAATTTAAAAAAAAAGATTTTCATGAAACTCTATGCTACCGTTGGCCCCGGGCAATAAAATTTCAGAAAAATGTTTTACTGTTAAATATGGTCAAGTAAAATGTTTGCTCTTTCAATAAAACTTAATGAGAAAAATTGTGAAGCAAAGTTTTTGTTGGGGTTGCGGGGGTTTACTTGTACATGTTTCTATGTTTCTAAAATTATTAATGCTTTCTTAGTTCGTGGAGGGTAGGGGGGGGGGGGGAGGTAAACAATTGTGTAGACAGTGGGTTTAATTCATACTTCTTTTGTTAATTCTATCCAATTCATTCATGCGATGTTTGAAAAATCTGCACGTTGGTTGGATTGGCAGTTTGACTGGTTAGGATATTGGGGATAAATTCACACCTCTTTTGTTAATTCATGCAAGGTTTACTTTTTGTTCAAAGTCTGCACACCAATGATTATATTTGATATTTGCATGTCAGTGTGAATGGATGAAGAGTTTATCTCTTTGTATCCAGAATGTGCACAAACTGCTTGATGAGAGTGTGCGAGATAAAACAAAAGATATAATGTGGGGAAAAACAAAAAAATTATTCACTCGTTTGTGCCTGAAATAATCTACTGTTCATAAAAATTTGAAGCTCTGTGGACCACATTTTGAGGACTTTAGAGGGATCGTTTAACAATGTTAAATCTGAGATACACGGCCCTACGTGTTATCAGTGTCTGTGATATGGTGTAATATTGAAGCCCTAAAAAAATTGTTCTTCAAAATGATGAAGAAGTGCCTCATAAGAGGTGATATCGTATTATCGTATTACACTCTTATTATCGTACTGGTTGGCATCTCACTGTAAGTGTAAAAGTATATCAGCAATATCAGTTGAACCATTTTACCTGTGGCCTACATTTTGTAGATTACAGTGCTTGATAAGACACTCCATTGATGTGAGATTAACCCTGTCTCTCTCTCTCTCTCTCTCTTTTCTCTTAGGTCGTAGAAACAGAATTCCCAGAGGACAAGAACACCGGTAGGAGACTAGGCTTTGCATTCGTCAAGTACGAAACATCAGATGAGGCACAGGATGCACAGAAACACAGATTTCACACCATTGCAAATAAGGTAAGTTAAATCATCTTCTCTTGTGTAACCCTCCTTTTCTTGGCATCTCTGAACTCTCCCCCATGTTTATGAGATGAATGCAACCAGGAGGAAGATAAACATGATGAACCTTCGGTGTCAGGGTTCTTATGCCCTGGTCCCATCCTCTAGCATCATTACAGGGTATTAGAAAATAAAGGAAAAAATATTTAAAAAACAAAAAAAATCTCTTGTCTGTTGTCTTGTAGCTCTGGCTAAGCTGAAGGATTCAAATTTAATCTGTGTGAATAAGTGCTTAGACTTGCGCTACACCAATATCCAACCTACTCCCTCCCCCCCCCCCCCCCCCCCCAAGATAGGAGTTGGATAACATCATTGGAATTCACTATAAGTGCAAGAAGGTTTGAGCAAACCTGCCAGTTGAACCAAAATTATCAGACAGGCAAAACAAAATATAAAACACTTTGCCAAAAGTGGAATTTTTCTGGATTTTCAATATTTCATTTATTTCCACTTCTCATAAAAAACATATAACAATTTACATACAATATCTGATTAAACACAACAAAACAAAACAAGAAAATGACATAACAATGAATTTTGAGCACCTATTTATTTATTTATTTATGTGATAACTTTTCCTAGTGTAGAACAAATATGCACTTGTTGAAAGATGTTCAAGGTAATTCACTTCATATCCTTGAATGTAAATGAAATTGGTATTTGGTGTTAATATGGGTACCATGCATTAGAAGATAAGTTTTGAGCTCTTGCAACACCCCAACCCTAATCCAAAGCGCAACATGAAACTAGTGCTGTAGCCGAACCGCCGAACCGAACGGAAGTTCGCCGAACAAGGCACTTCCGAACCGAACCGAACGCAAAGGCCTGGTTCGGATGTTCGGCAGAAAAATGAAAACATTTTTGCAAGCTAATAAACTTGTCATTTTGTACCTAATTTCATGTCATGATTGCTCATTTTTATTTACTTTTTTCCCATTTTCCGCCTTTATGATTTATGCCTTTGTGATTTATGCCTATCCAGTCGTGGGCGCGACTTCACTGGCGCCATTTAAATCCCAAATCCTGACCGCGCTACGTCGCGATCGCAAGCCATAAACAAGAATACATGTGCGTGATCAAAACAACTTCAGCTCAAGCCCATTCAACAAAAAATTAATATTTTAATTGTAACAATTTCGGACAAATTTTGAAATATAAATAATGAAATAAATTTATATTATAATATGTTATTTATTTATTCAGGAAAAATAGGGATTTTATATTTTTCCTATTAAATATAAAAACTTATAAAAAACAGTTATTGACGAGCCTGATTTTTTTATTCAAGATGGCAGCTTTCATGACTCTAACATTAGACAACAACTGTCTCGGAAAATCTTTAAAAAATATCATTTATTGACAAATTGAAAACATGATTCTTTTAAAATTGAAAATAAAACACGATTCAAGACGGAAATACGAATGTAAGTAGTACTTTTCTTCACAGATAATTATGTTTGGAGCAGTTTTTAATGTGAAATTCGTGCTGGTCGGAAGCAGTGTGCAGAAGTCCTCCATGCTGGTCGGGCCCGGCAGGCTCGCCTGCCCGCCCAGTGCCGACCGCCGTGGCTATAACGCTGCTTGCTATTATATTACCGAACCCTGAACCGAACCAAGTTCGGGTGAAAAATTGCCGAACTCTGCCGAACCGAACACGAACATAGCGTCTGACTTACAGCACTACATGAAACCCATTGCAACTCTCACCATAACATACAATCTGTAGGGAAGCTCGGAGCAAATGTCAGTTCACCTCCATGACTCTTTTCACCAAACAGATATTGTCTTTGGTTTTCTATTTCAGAAAGTTGAAGTGAGTGAAGCAGTCTCAAGGGAAGAGAGGCAGCAACAGAAGATGAGAGGAGGCATGGGCATGCGAGGAGGCAGAGGAGGAAGAGGAGGTAAGCATCCCACCCCTATCCCCACCCACCCCCCTCCCCCCACCCTCTCTCCACAGATTGTATATCGCCTTGTAGTCTACAGCCATTGTGACTTGATGTAAACTGAGAAACTATTGTGGGCTGTCAAAAACAAAATAAGTGGCAGTAACATTTTGAAAATCTGGACCTTTTTGTAAAGTTCATGAAGTAAATGGTTGTGTAGTTTGTACAGGATTATAGATTCTAATGGAAAAACTTGTGAGCTGTTGAGAGAATGTAATTCAGTATGCAATTTAAGTACTAATACAGTAAGAAGGCCAAATCTAATTTCAAGTGAAATGAAGGAGAAAAAAAAATGTGCAAAGGTTGTGACAAAACTGACAACCCTTGCTGCTATTATGCTGCAGCGATAAGATGTACAGAGGTCAAACCGTACCATATGAAGTGTAACTGTAGCATTTTGAATGTACAAAACATTTACTACTTAAGTCTCTAGAAACTGCATTGCAAGTCATTGACAGATATCGTAATTAAGGTCGCCTTTTGAAAGAATCCTGGGCCCCGTAACACAAAGATTTGCCATGAAATGCGAAACGGCAATGGGCAATAAAGAACATTGTTGCATGCACATATTGTAGAAAAGGCCGACCATTATCCAATCAGAATCGTCGTTAAAACAATCACATTCGATCACAAACCTTTTGTTACGGGCCCCAGGGGTAAACTATTCTTTTGACCATCTATTTTGCCGCACCATGGGTAGAGAAAAGGAATTTTGCTAACACTAAAGTATCTTTCTCTGTAGGATATGGTCCTGGGTACAGGGGCGGATACGGAGGCTACGAGGATTCCGGTTAGTCTATATAATGTCCACTTTCTTTTATTATGTACATTGCTTTTTAGTGATCTTGTGAAATTGTCCAATCTGTGCATTGCTCTTTAGTGATCATGTTTAATTGCCAATCTGTGCAGTGTACATTGTTCTCAACCTTAGTGATCATGCTTATTTTGTGGCTTCCGCAGTGCCAGCAAAATTGGACTGGGGAGCCATGCTAAAAAACACTTAAGTTTTTATCACGTCTTCATCGATAATGACGAACTGCCTATGTGTGTGAGCGTGTGTTTGTGTATGTGATCATGTTTAGTTGTCAATCTGTGCATTGTTCTTCAGTTGGTGTGTTCCTGTGTGAGTGTTCTTTATCATAAGTCATGAATACTAAGCCAGTAACATTTTTAACCAGGCAAATTCAGAGTTTTTTCATGATTTATCTATTCTGAAAATTCTAGTATTGGTATACCTTGCAGAATATCACTCTCTCACTGTCCTACATATTTGCATGGATTCTGTTTTTTTTTACCCTGTTTGTTCATTCATATCACGACATATAGATGTGCCCATATCTAGTAAAGGAAGCAATTAAAAGATTAGATAAATACATGTAGGCTTGTCAAGATTAAATGTAGCTATTCCTGCAACCACCTGGTGTGAAAACTGCCCACTCTATTCTACATGTAGCATTCAACTCTATTATTGGCATATTGTGGTTATGATAGCATAAGGTTGTTGAAAAATGCAGAGTAATATTTCAGCACATCTTGGTCAGATTCCCCAAGCCCCTCGTTTCAAGCAAATATTTCATGAATTTGAAAGAGAAAACAAAAAATCATCAAGATTTTCGAAAAATTTGAAAATTTGACTTAAAGGGATAGTTGGAGTTCTGTTTACAGATAGCAAATGCCTTCAAAGTGCATGGTTATTGCTCTTATTCTTATCTATGACATTTCTAGTGTCCTTTTAGGATGTGTGAAATTTAGCCCCACTTTCAAAAAAATATGGTAACCGTTAATTAATGAATTAATTAATAATAACAATACATGGGCCGGCTGGTTGTGCGTAATATAACCAACACAAAAGCCAACATCGGCATTGGCTGAAATACAACGTGAACAGCGCTATTTTGTTTTTCCAACGGCTTTCAATGGCTGGTTCAAATTATCTAATATTTGTGGTGGTACACAAGTATTAGAAATCATTATATTTATGGATATTTCAGCCGTCTCTGAACCGATTTTGATCAAACAAAGATGATTCTGTCATATAAACTGTATGTTCTTTCAAATTTGACACTGTTTTTCATATATCTCACAAAAAAATTATTTTGTGTAGCGCCCTCTGCAACAGAACTCATCAATCACTTTAACCCTATCTAGCCTGGGCTATTTTGAAACTGCAAAGCCTGGTCGGGGGGGGGGGGGGGGCTTCTAAGGCCCCCCCCCCCCCCCCCCAATAATCTCGTCCATGAAACGGCCGATTGCCACAAAAATTTGTATGCGTTTCAAGTGAAGAGTATAGATTAATATGGTAATTCCAATTTTTTTGAAAAATTCACTCATTTGCATATTTATGGTCATTTATGCAAACAAGGTTATAAAATTTACTTTTTTACCCATAAATCATATATTCTTCTTATTGAAACATTAGTTTTCAACACATATATTCTTTAGATGATTTGGGATTATAATACAACAAACAAAATTGGAAGATCCAGGTTATTCCTTACCGGTATGTTATCTATTGTGTTGATAATTTCTTATGTACATGTATTTCATTGTTTTCATTGTCTTATTTCATTTACAACTATTTACTAAGTTGACCCCCAAAATAAACACCTTAACTATAAACGAGACCTAATAATCAATGTTTTATCTCTTTTGGGGGAAAATGGGATTTCTATACGTTTTGTACACTGATGACGAAAATGAGCGATTTTCAGGCTGACATGCACAGACAAAAGGTCCCACGACTTTGTAACGATAGGTCTAATTTTCTAATATGCACAAGACTCGAAAGAAAAAAGTCATAAAACTTCAGCGCAAGATTCTTTTGCGTTAAAAAAATTATCACAAAAAATGTTGAGGAGGGGGGCTTCTAATGAAAGGACAAATTTGAATGTGCTCATGTATTTTTCGTGAGTCTGCCATTTTCAAAGGCAAATTACCCATGCTCTCCTGTAAAGTATCTTACAAGCATCTCACATCAGCAATTTGGGATGTTCATAGGTTCATTCGAACACACCAGTCATGACGAAATCATGCATATTTAACCAACGGTCCATAAAAATTGATTACATGTCGCTCATTGGTAAATTGACCGATCATTCATGTACTCGTGCATAATTCTTCAAAATTATTTATTATTATATTCAAACTTATCGATCAATAATAGGATGTTTATTTTGAAAATAGGATTTTGGGGGAAAAGAATTAGATTTTTTTTCAATCTGGGTTGGCAGCTCTGCAATCAGTGAATCTTTCAGTGCTTTTTTATACAGGCCCCCTATGGTAGGAACTGTGATCACATCTCAATTTGAGATGGATACCAGTCACGAGTCTGTGCGTAACACAGGGATCTGGTGCTAATACTCCATACAAAAATGCATGCCTATTGAAGCAATAAACTCTGTACTTTCTCCCACCAGGTTTCTATGGCCAATCCTATGGTGGTGGCGGCGGTGGTGGCTACGGTGGTGGTGGCTACAGTGGCGGCTATGGCGGCGGCGGCCAGGGAGCCTACCAGGGATACGACTACAACTATCAAGGCTACAGCCAGGGTGGTTACGGCCAAGGAGGTGGCGGCGGTGGATATGGAGGCGGCGGATACGGTGACTACAGCAGTGGTGGCGGCGGTGGATACGGAGGCGGCGGCGGTTATAGTGGTGGCGGTGGTGGATACGGAGGCGGAGGCTACAACAGTGGATATGGTAAATGAAAAGGTTGTTGACAAGCCCAATGTACTTTCTTGTCTTCCTTATTTTTACTGCAATCTGTTCATTTTGTAATTGTAGAGGTGTTTAGTGAGACGGAATTGGCTTTACATCGATTAGGGATTTTTTCAGAATTTTGCTTGACTTTAAGATCTGTCACTTTTGGTCAGGCTTTGTAGGCTGATTGAGGACAACCAATGAGCATTCCTGATACATGAAACAAGTGCTAGTTAGATTAGGTTTGAATGTATTTGGGCAAGTCCAAAATATTTTGTCATTTGGTGTTGGTATCCCATTGTTTACCAAGTATCGAGGAGTTTAAAAAATGTTTCGACATCAAAAGTTCCATTCAAATCCATTTTACCTAATACTTGGTCTAATCTAAGTTTTATTGGGCTGTTAACCATGATATACTAAATTTGTATGTGGTTAATAAAGTATTGGACAAAATAATTTTGACTTGCCCATTTACTATAGATAGATTGTTGTTTGGAAGAAGGAAGCAGCTGCCAAATACAGGTAAGACAGCGTGAGAATTAGGCAAACTATCCATGTAAATATCCTGCAGAAATATCATTCACAACGTATTTCTGAGTAGGAAGTCACTGGAACGATTATCTTGCAACATAGATCTTCGATTGACAAAACTAAGATGTTACGGTATTAAAAGAAAGTATGCACAAAATACACTACTCTGTAATTAGAGAGACTGAATCAGTTAGGAAAGTCTGAAACTGATCACTAATTGTCAAAAGCATCATGATTGATAGGATGGTGAAATATATCTTGCACTTGCTATTATTAGATAGTTTGTGTCATGCTTCAATGATTTTAAAAAGAAAATCGGTTATATCAATTTAATGCGAATATAGCATTTGCACTAGTTATCAAATTATGAGATGAGAAAACACGCATTTACAAATTGTAGTTCTCTTGAAGAGCTGGACTCTGTGAAAAATGGGGGACAATGGGAGTGGTGACTGGTGAGTGGTTATTCTCAAAAGCTATAGAATAGAACTTTGGAGAATTCAAAAGGTGCTCTGGTAAAAGCAGGAGTGCAAAAATAACATACCTCACTTTTATCTTAACAATTCCAAAAAGGGTGTGAGCAAAGAAAGTAATTTTTCTAGTGGCAGGCCTCTTCTCTCGATTCAGTCTCTTTTGATGTACACGTAGTGAATAACATGAAGATGTTGAAAATGTGGTTTGTACTGTCCAGCGTTGTAGAGTACCGAAGTGCAAATATCGTATTCGCTCGTGGTCCAGGTTACTGGTTCTAAACAAGAGAGCCTGCACATGAGGTTCACTGTGAAATAATGCAAGCAACGGGCTGGAGTAGGGCAAAATCAGTGTTTGGGGCTGGTGTGATCACCACACTATTGTTCAGCACAAAATTGTTTGGAACCAGTAATCTTGACACCTTAGCCAGTATGACACTTCAATACTCTATTGTGATGTTGTGTAGTATGATGTTTTATTTGATTGTAGAATGCATGCCACAAAATCAATGAGTGATAAACGTGTGTCGATGTGAACTGTCAAAAGAATGATTTGATGAAATATTTATTTAATTGCATGATGTTGGATCTTGCGTGTAAACAAATACAGTGCATGAGCATTTTTACTATGAGTTTAAAAATATTCATTTTGACTAAACAATCATTACATTTTTATACATTTGCTAACTACCTGCCTATGACAAAGAATTCATGAATATATAAATGCAAACAAATGTGAATTTTGGTTGATATTGTCTGATGAAAGATTGGATATTAATGTCTGGTTTAAAAAAACACACAATTATATTTGGAAATAGAAAGAAAAAAGTCACTTGTCGGAATCATTTTGATGTCATTGTCAAAGAACTGCAAATCATTTATAGAGAATAGTGAACTCAATTCAGACAGGGTTTCACTAATGAATTAATGTGTTTAAACCTGCACACATGTGAAACAGCCATACAGAAATATATCTGATACAGAGAATGCTGTATTAAGCAATAACACATAATATGTCTTCTCATTCAATGGCAGTGTATGTTTACAACCAGGGAAAAAACTGGAATGGACTTATCAATATAATGTGGCATCAGATTTATAGATCGTTGAAATGTAGCCAGTGTAGTATGTTAATTAACTACCAACTCAAAAATACTGAAGTTTTTATTTCCCCAAACATCGGCTGATGTGATCCTCTTTCTTGAAAAAGAATATTGCCACAATCCATTTTGCATAAGGTGACTGGTGCTAAGGAATTATTAAATGTCTCATTATCTCATGTTTTAGATGTATTTTTTTCTTCATTTGTGATTTGCTATTTCTTTGTAGGCTCAATTTATATGCATGAAACAAAATATCTTTTCTTTGCTTGTCTGCTGTGACTCTTGCAAATGCATCTTGCATGGCTGACACAACCCTCCTCCCCCCCTTAAAAAAAAGAAAAGAAACAAGCAACATTTATCAGCAACTACCCACTTACCTCGATTCCCCAGAAAATGAAACTTGTTGCAAAATGTTCTTTCCTCTTCTGGTACCGTCTTTTCAAGGTTTCTTTCCTCTTTTTACTGCTTGGTGGAAAAACAAAAATCTCAAAAGTAGCTAGGTGAAAGGGCTCGCTTGAGATCACCCACCCACCCACCGATGACGAACACTGTACATGTGAGGGCAAATGGTAATCATCTAGCCTCTGCCACGGAAGGTGGTGCCAGAGGCATTGTTTACTTTAATATTTTTGGGTTATTTTTTTGAAAATTACCTGAAAAAGGGCACTTGGATGGTGGCCATGCAAGTTCTAGTTGCTCTGTAGGTGGGCTGGCTTTTGGTTCATTTAGGTAGTCGTGCCCCGCATACTACTACCCTTTTTACGGATTCCCGCACATGCTGCTTGAGGTTGCTTAGGGTTCTTTAATTTCGACTCGATTATCGACGAGCATTCCCTATAGATGTCCTTGCCCAGTCCCGTTCTGCTCAGTCTGGCCTTGACTAGTCACTCCCTGTATCCGGACCTGCTAAGTACACACCCCCAACACTCCTTCATAGAATAGTATAGATAGATAGATAGATAGATAGGGTATTAATAATCTTTTCACGTCAGAGAGTTTGAGATGTTAATTTGTCAAATAACTTTTTACTCAGAAGGGACGTTTGTAATTTTTCCCTACCTACAGAACAATCAGAACCTGGCAAAGCCCCAGTTAATCGACGCGGGGGCGGAGCCCACCACCCCTACTCTCGCTAAAGACGTGTTTTAAGGCCAAGAAGGGGGACCCATGAACAGGTATTTAAATATAATCCTTCAAAGTTTCCGTCTCTTTAAAAAACAGAAAAGATTTAGGTGTTTGTGTTCTTCATAGTTCCTTGACTCCACACCTCACCTTCTTCACTTAATTGAATTGTTCAATTTCATGTAGTGTCTTTGAGTGGTAGAATTGGATTGGCACCGTGCAGTAGTTGAGCCACTCCTTTGTGCCTGGCACCCTTTTTTTGGTGTGATGTACACAACATTTTGGCCATCATTTGTTCACACATGAGCAGTGTTCATCTCTTCATCTATTTCTCCTCCCCCTCCTCTTTCATTGCACCATCCTATCATTTGCAGCATCTTTTTCATTCATCTTTTTTAGTTTGCAAGTTTGTCAATTAACTTGATTTTGCCTGTGTATTTTTGCTGCTGCTTTGATTGCTCAAGATATATGTTTATCTGTTTTCTAAAATGTTTGCTGTTTATTTTATTGATTTATTCTGTGTGTTCTCATATGGAATTTTTCCAAAGAATGTTATACATAATGATTTAGAAGTATCTCTAATTTCCCTTTCTTCTTTTTCTTTCGTCCCCAGATTAACGTTGGACACTCCTGAGAAATCGACACTTGCCCCTTTGCAAAAAAAAAAATTGGGAAAAAATTTGTACAGAAAACAAAAATGCGGGGCAAGTAGAGGAGTCAAGAAGTAAAGGAGTGTATTGGCGACTGAATTTGTGGAATTGCTGTACATGTTATCTTCCTTGAGGTGTGGCTTATCGATGCGAAGGCTTCCGGAGTTTCACAAGGACAACTATTAGCACCCATGTCTTTCTGAAAGGAGTGCAAAAGATTCTTGCTTCGAAAAAAAAAAGAAATATTCGATTCTTCACGTGATTGTCCCTGTGAAACTCTACAAAATATGGACTTGGGGGAATGAAATGAAGTGGATGAAATGTATAATTAGCTCAACTGTACCAAAGCGAATCAAACAATTTTTGAGAAAAAGAAAATGAAAAAAAAAAAAAAAAAATTCTGCGACACAACATGTTTCTGAATGTGCATATGAAATCACGCAGTGGTATTCTGGAAATCATTTTTTATTTGCAATTCTCTTCCATCCAAAAAAAAGAGGAGAGAAGAGAGAAAAAAAAGGACCGACAAGCTGTCTTGTCGTTATCCTTTTATGACCAATTGTAATATAATTTAGCCAAGAATTAAACCCTTTTCTGTTCTGTTTTTTGCCCCCTCCCCCCCTGGTGTGTTTCATGATTATCAATCGATCAATGCCTTGTTAATGTATGTCATATTTTTCTCGCAATTATAATAAGCTTTGTATTTGTGATTTTTTTCCTATCTAGTGGCTTGGCCTTTCTTATGTAACTTCCATTTATTTCATGTAGTATTTTTGCCTTGAGTTTTAATTGGTTAAAATAAAATTCCATTCCTATTGGCATTTTAAAAACCCAAGTCCTGTAAAGGCTAGTGTTTAAATTTTCCATCTCTTCAGTTTTGTGTTTTAATTGAATTTAAGTTAAACATAAAGTTAATATTATGTAAAATTTAATACAAAAATCATATAAAATTAACTACCCATGATAACTAATAGGATTAAAATATGTCTCTTGCCCCCTTTTAAATTTAAACTCATTAACACAGTTCAACATTTGATAATATTGTGTACATGATGTGTGGGTTGAATGTCTTCTTTGATTGAGGAGTAGCTCACCACATTCCAGTATTTATGTGAAATGGGCCGTGGTGCACTGTCGAGTGAATACGATGCAATTTGCCAAACGAAGCGACTGCCCAAAATTTTATGTTATTTTTTATTGACTGATTTTTTCTTATCAATTTTTTATACAAAAGTGGAAAAACATGAAAAAAAATGAAAATGTGAAACTTGTGCTCTGAAGACATTTTGTTTTTTTGAACGGTCGTTTGTCCTTGAAAGTGGAGTGTATGAATCTGATCTATGGTTGCTTCTCTCAGTAGGTCCAGCCAGCCAGCCAGATCTTTCTCTGAGAGGTTTGAGCATCAAGCTCTCATGTAACCATAGAGTTTTCTCTATCAAATATCCACAATGGAGTCAGTGTCGTACCCATTTTTCCCGAACGTTTTGTTCTTCAGGGTAGTGTAGTTAGGTTGGTAGAAGATGTGAAGCAATTCACCAAAGTTTCACCAAAGTTTGTACTTCTATATTAACACCCAGGCCCTCTCTGCCATTCACAAGGGTTATCTTTAGATCTGTAAAGTAGGGGGTTTAGGGCCCATACAATTTAATAGATAAGATATAGGTTCCAAGTAAAGAGGCATTTATGTAATTTGATAGGAAGAACTAAGATTTATGTAGGGATAGTAGGTAAACTATACAGGTATGTTCATTATAATTTTGCTAATAATTAAACTTATGATAGAATTAAAACTACATTTAGAACACATTTCACTTGCTCTACACTCAAATACATCAACAGTCAGACACATGTGATGAAATACAGTGAAAAATTGTATGGAAAAATGCCCCCCCCCCCCCAAAAAAAAAATCCATTGTTGAAGACAATACTGTGCTAAAAACAATGGTCTCTTCTTTATAAACAAATGAATAGTAATAATATTCATCTACACATGTATCATTGTTTGTACATGCTTCAATATTTCACTGTATTGCACTGGAACACAAACATACAATACATGCATTAGTAATTGTAAGACTGTTGGTTATGTGTGCAACCTGTGTGAGGTCCAAATGAGAGTTGCGTGCTCGTGTATGTTCAACATTAACATATTTGTAGTAAATACACGGGTACAGTGGAACCATGTTAAAACAAATTTCCTGGAATCAGGGATATTGCCCTGTTATATTCAGACTTTGTTTTATTGGGGGCCTTAAAACTACAACAAAAACAAAATACAGTGAAACCTGTATATAAAGACCGTTCACAGGAAACATTAATTGTTTATATCTTTTATAGGCAGGTGGTCTTAATGTACAGGTTTCATTAATGAACCATATTCAAGGAAAATGAAAAATGTATACAGGTGGTCGCTATCAAAAACGGGTTATTCTACAAAGGAAAAATTATTGTTTAAACGGTACATGTAGCTTGTAATCATGGTTCCACTGTTCACTTTTGCAGAAGGAGAGAGAGAGAGTGATCTCAAGTGCAGTGCGTGTATATGGTATGGTTTTAATTACTGTTAACAATGTGTGCCTAGCAGTAAGGCATTAACTTGGAGATTACTAGACTGCTAGCACTTTGAAACCGGAAACATGTGAGGATGAAATGCTCGCATATTTCGTTACTGGCCAACTTTTGTGGAAGTTTCATACAATGAAATATTGAATCACATATTCCGCAGTACCGATACTGAATTTTTGGGACTATCTTGTGAAAAATCACTGTCATTTACAAATTGCAAAGTTGCATGCCATACAAGTTTCTGATTAAAGTACGGTATTAGGAATTCACCTGTTGTGCCCTTTAGCAAGGCACGCCCTGTTTTCTATGCCATTGCGTTACATGGCTTCCAAAAATTTCGATCTTGTTAATTTGCCATTGCATCATATCGGAAAGCCTGAGAATGAGTGTGGAATCCATTATTCTTATTTATTACATGGCCATGACTGCTCTAGAGAAGATAAGATCTATATACAGTGTGAGTCAAAGAAAGTTTACACCTAGAAAATTATTTTATAAATCTATGAACAGTAAAGAATTAAACATCTTATGAAAGAGTGTTTTATTCCAAATGATTAAATATCATTTTTGTGTGGTATGTGTTCACGCTTGGATGAACAGGAGGCATTGTTTGCGAGAGTGCAACAATCGACTTGCGCCAAAGTTGCTCATGTGACGTTTGAATGAAACAATTGGGATTTGGGTATTAATTCGGTCATTGCAGATCCAAATAAAACCACTAACAACATTAATCATGCCACACATAACAAATATCAATGAACATTTGTGCGCGTATGTGTGTGTGCGTGTGTTCGCTTGTGCAAAAAGCATATGCAATTTATTCTCTCACTCCACTAATCCAAACATAATACATGCTGTAGGCATCACTTTGGCGCTAGTCGATTTTTGCACTCTTGCAATCAATACCTCCTGTTCATCCAAACGTGAACACATACCACACAAAAATAATACCAAATGATTTGGGATAAAACACTCTTTCATAACATGTATAATAATTTAATGTTCATAGATGATTTTTAAAATAATTAGCAATTTTATAGGTGTAAACTGTTTTTTGACTCTCACTGTACAGTGGACTCTCATTATAAACAAACCTGTGGGACCAAGAATTGCAGGTAGCAAGCCTCGTTTTCATAGTGGGCCTGGCAAAACGAGCTTTACCTCATATAAGTTCTAGTATCTTAACGAGGTTTCACTGTACATGTGTGCAAATAGTTGGTGCTTGCTCTATTTCTATTGTATTGCTGTATAAAAGTGAGAGAAAGAATATTGTAAAACCAGAAACTTTTCTTGCACATGAAATGTTTGTAAATTTTGCAAGTAGTTGTGATTCATGAAATGTTCATGCTGCAAACTAATTGAATCGCAACTGACATGACACTGAACTTAAGAAGAAACTGCTGTCCTACAATTTACAATAGTTTCTGGTTTTACAGAAATAGAGAGTGATCGATATCAAGCATTCACTTCTGAGTCTATAATATACATGTGTATTGTACCTGTCTAAGCAATTTATCACAATGTGCTCGGAAAAACTTTTACTTGTACATACCTTGAAGCTTATACAATAATTTGTCATTCTGAACTTACAAATCTGTACATTGATACACATATATATGGCGGATTCGCCGGTTCATGAAACCGCCAAAGAATTACGTTGCCTCCGTTTTGGTGAAGGGACAAAGGGACAGATTCCATTATATTATTGGTGGAACTGCTATCTATCAATGTACAATACTTTTACATCATAAATGTACATGAATACAGGAAAAAGCAAACATGAGCTACCGGTATGCACATAAATTGCCCAACCCTCTTGAAGGCAAATCCGGTATGCAGTCTTATGATAGGATATCCTACTTCCACTTTAAAGGGGGAGGTCTATTCTGATATGACGTTGGTTTTTATAGAAGCAGAAAAATGAAAGGGATCAGTGAAAAAGGTTTGAGCAAAATCTAATCAAACCATGAACTAATTGTGCACTCGATCAAATGCAAGTTGGCAACTCTGGCATTTTGGTCCCTCTCCAATTTTCTCTACATAAAAAAAAAAATCACACTGATTTATTTCTCCAAAGAAAATGTTCATTCATACATGTACATGCATCCCAGATAAAATTATCGCACATATATTTCTACAGAACCCCTGTATGAAACATATCTACATGTATTCCTTCATCAATTATTAGGAATATGGCAATACAGTACCGGTATGTACATGGCATGCATGCATCCATGGTACATGAACTGTTCAGTTTATAGCAAGCAGAAGAGGACCTTGAAATGTAATTCAGAGTTGCCAATTTAGTTTTGATTGATTACAAATTCAAATATATTTGAGGGGAATTATAGAAAATTCACTTTAAATTACGGGCACATGTTATGGAAAAGGGGGTACTTATCAGAAGGGAAAAAGAAAAGGTGCACTTTCAAAGGTGAAAATGGGGCACCTATCAGATTTTAATTGGGGCATTTGTCAGAGGTGAAAAGGGGAAGGGGCTCATTTAAAAAAAAGGCCCTTAATCAGAAGAAAATGGGGTACTTGTAAAAAAGGAAAAGGGGCACTTATCAGACACCAAAATGGACATTTAAGAGAAAAGGAAGGGGTTCTTATTTATTAAAAAAAAGGGGCACTTATTGGAAGAGGAAGGGCAACTATAATAAGTATAATGCGCACCTCTCAGATTTGAATGGGGCAATTATTAGAGGTGTCAGGGGGGGGGGGCACTTATCAGAAGTAAAAAGGTCCACTTCTTTGTACCTAAAAAGGGGCAATTATATGAATGGTATAGGGGCGCTTATTGCAAAGGAAAAGGGGTGCCTGTACAATTTTGATAGGGGCATTATATCAGAGGTGAGGGGCATTTATTTCAAGGAAAGGGGCAATTATTAGAATGGAAACGGGACATGCTTCTAAATAAAAGGGGCACTTATCAGAAAAAGAAGTCGCACTTCTTACAAAGGAAAGGGGCACTTTTGGCATAATTGAATGACAATTTGCAGGTATCGCAACAAATTATTTACTGGCTTCCAGTTACATAGTTCCTCTTACAAGGGGTTATTGACTTGGCGCCATGATTATACACTCCCTAGGAGAGGAAAAGGGACATGCATAAAAAAAAAGGGAAGAGGCACTTCTTACAAAGGAAAAGGGGCACTTGTCCTATGTAAAAAAGGGCACTTTTGGGGTAATTGAAAAGTGTGTGGGGGAGGGGAGGGGGTGGGGCTCTACATTGAATGACAATTCAGTGATTAAAAAATGTGAATCTCGCAGTTATCACAACGAATTATTTACTGGATTCCATCGTGGTCATCATCATTTACTGAAGTTAACCTTTTCCCTCTTACGAGGGGTTATTGACTTTGCGCCATGATGACACTACCTAGCTCTATCCACTTCTTGTCTCGAGTAACCTTCTCATTTAGACCAATTCCAACGTTTTCTTTCTTCACCATATTTTTCCAAGACGTTTTTGGTCTTTCTTTATCTCAACACATGACCCATTCATCTCGATCCACTTCTCTTTACCACTTTCATCAGTTTCTTCCAGACCCAACTTTTCTTTGAGCTCCCTTGCGTTCTTTCTATTGGACAGTTTCACACCACACCACACATCTTGCGTATCCGATGGCTCTTTCTGTTCTCATAAGGATACTTTTCAAAAGAATACTATAGCGGATACTACTTAAAAACTTTTCAATCCCTGTCAAGCACACTTCCTTAAAGACCGTCACCACTACTAGGACAGAAGGGATTAAACCACACTGCGAGGTCACTGACAGGTGGCTATCTCATCAACTCAGCTCTCAACTAACATAAGAAAAAGAGGATCATGGGGGACCAACAGGCACCGATTGAGGAAGTTTTTTATATAGAGGGAGCAAGTAGCTACAAGTAGGACAGTGGGGCTTTAATACATCTCTTCACTCTTTTTAAGTCCCGAAAACAGGCTGGCTTCAAATACTTTCAATCCCTTCCCCCACGCCTTCCTGTATTTCTAAGAAATTCTACTTCACTCGACTAAAAACTTACCTCTAGAATTCTTAATTTACCTCGATACCCATGGAAAAAGCACTACCGGTATAAAAATTCAGTTATTATTATCTATTATTATATTTATCAAAGGTGTAAAAGTACAGATTTAATGGTACCTGACCCAATGTGATATTCTGGAAATACATTTCTTATCTAAAAGTAACTGCAAATTTACATGTAAATTGATCCAATCTAACCTCACCTAATCTGTACAAATAAATTATATAACATACATATTCTTTAAAAAAATGCACAGAAAGCAGCCTACACCAAGCACATTAGGGCCAACACCAAATTTGTCTTGAAAATTATCATACCTCATTAAATAAAAATCAACAAAACACAAAAATTAAAAGAAAATAGATCTGCACATATTTTTGGCATACTGGATACATCATTAGTTTTATTAAAAATACAAGAAAATATGTATAAAACATGATGTTTGAGTAAAGGAAAGTCTTTTTGAAAAAATCTCAATAACACAACTCTTTGAGTCACTTAATTGAATCTGATGAAAATACAATATTCTACATACATGTATATAATATGTAGTAAATGGACATCATCATGTATTAGAATAAATACATACTGAGGACTTGAATGCAAAATAATCTTTGCCCCCAAGACAGAACTTTACCAAAGCAAGTCAAACAGGTACGAGGACTTCAAACTATTTGAATACGTGTTTGCACAAATACATGTATTTGAATAGTAAAAAAGATATTTGTCCCAGGCCTAATGGGTACTACCAAGTCATCCATCGTGCAGCTTTTACATTATATCACCCTCATTCAGACAAAACCTAAAATGTTTGTTTTTTATCTGACTGCTAAGAAGCATCTGTATGCTGAAAGTAAGCTAGCGATGGACCAACGACTTAAAAGTCCTCTCTCTTGCCAAAGGACACTAGTGCATTGGTTTTGAACCCGGGACCTCCTGGTTAGGAGACCTCTACTCTACCACTGAGCCATTATACCTCCAATCCATGCATGAAGTGTTCCCATATAACTTGGTTTCCTGATACAATAAGCATAAATAATTAAGCATGGCAATCCAAGGAACTCCTTTAAAAAATACAAGTATCACTACATGTATTTACTTATGGAAAAATCTTTCTTGAAACATTCAGGCACAAGCAAATTTTGAAGTACATAAAAACTGGAATAACAGGTAGAGTTCTATCTCTCTAGAATTAGACAGTACAGTGAAACCTGTCTATAAAGGCCACACAGAAGGGAACATGATAGATGACCACTGTAGACAGGTAGTCTTTATAGAGAGGTAGCTACTAAGACAGGTTTGACTGTACTTCATGGATGTGAGAAAAGAAATGATATCCTAATTATCCCGAAGACCTTGTATGGAGTGTGTATCCACATTTCTCAAAAAGATCTTATTCATGATGAAAGGAGAGTACACAAAATGATGAAAGGTAAAATAAGAAACTAAATAAAATGGGATACAAATACATGTACTTCCAATAGATAAATGCATCTTTAAAAAGTAGTAGAGGTCAAAACAAACTAAAATCTTGAACCATTATATATGAATGTTAACCTATGTACAACTAGAGATCAGTCCTCAGAATCCTCATATACATATTTACACTACAATCACCTCTGAATAATTAGCATTCCGATGCACATATACAATTAAGAACTGAATTATTCATCCCGCTTGTGAATTTGACGATTCTTTTTTTTTTGGGGGGGGGGGGGCAACTCAAGAATGAATTATGGACTGGTTGAATCAGGGCCTTTGCTGAAAACTTTTAGATGTAGACTTTACTATGTCACATCCTCTAGAAACAAATATTGGAAAAATCAAATTTTCACACACTTGCAGAATTATAAACTAGGTACGGGTATGAATAATTTAGTTGTCAACTGTCCATTTTTTACAGGACACTCCTCCCTGTTTGTGAATGGCTATATAAGACTACCCTTGACTTCAATTAACATTTTGAATCAAACTCAACAATATTCTTGAAATACCTGTACATCGCATTATTGTCATTGACTGTGTCCAAAGTGAAACTTCCCTTTAATTTGCACAAAGCAGTACTATACATTAAGCATGTGTGCAAGATTTAGTATGCATAGTACTGCAAGCACCTTGATGTATGAAAGGGAACATCGTTTGGATGCAACATTATCCTGACTCCTATGTGATGCAAATTGAACAGTGGCGATTGTTCTTTTAAAAAAGGTTTTAAAATCCTCCAGCTAAATCTCTCATCACCTTCCTCCTCGGAAACCTGCATGAATGAAAAAACAGAATGATAGAAGAAGACATGAATAAATAAATCAATAATAAGGGTAAAAAGCAAAAAGGTTTCTTTAACAAACTTAACTTTTAGGATGCAGTTCTGTTTTAAAAGTGATCAACAAAAAAGATTTCCATAATGATTTCTAGAAAGAACAGAAATAACATTAACTCAGTAAACATGGAGTTATCCTAGCAATAGATCTTATGGGGAACTAATATTATAAATCCAAAGATGTTTATCACCTTACAAGAGTCTAATTTAAACACTGACTGGCCTTACACAATGCATATTTCTTTGATTAAAAAAGATTGTTAGTTTAAAACAGCTTTAAGTAGATATTTCTCATCACAAGAACAGTTTTTAAAACCAAATTTGTATTACAATCACAAATGAGTTAATTTACTACCCAATCGGTCTCTTTCCATATATGGTGTACACCCAGCCTGTCTACTATCCACATGGTCTAATGACCATTAAGGCCAATAGTCATTTGATATAGTCTCCAATAAGTCTACTACTCGTTTAATCTATTAATCATTTAGTCTAACTTCAAGTTGGTCTAATTCTCAGTTTGTCTAATATGCATTTTGCCTACTAATAACAATCGTTAAAGGAGTATTAGATATTATGGATGGTACACAATATGGGCATTAGACAAACTGGGACTTAGACTAACTGCGTATTAGACCAAATGAACAATTGACCAAATGGGTAGTAGGCTAGTTGAAGATTAGACCAAATGGCTATTTGCCTAAATGGCCATTAGACCAAAGGATAATTAGACAAAATGATTATTGGACCTTGTGATGAGTAGACCGGCTGTTTGTAGACCATATGGGAATAGACTAATTGGGAAGTAGGCAATTCCAAATTCTAGTGTTCTTACCTCTGCTGAAGCCTCCTCCTCCTCCTCTGCTAAAACCACCCCCACCACGACCCCCTCTAAAGCCACCGCCTCGACCACCACCTCGGCTGAACCCACCGCCTCGTCCACCTGTTCATTGTCAAAAGATTCAAAAAGAAAGATAATAAGAACGAAAAATCTCCAAGCGTCGGTATAATCCTACACGTTTAATTCTGTTAACGATCATTTTTTCTCTGTGTTTTTGTTTGCCTAAAAGACTTCCAAGGACATACTGAATACCGTAGACTTTCAATACATTCCCTATCTGAAATATTGTACCTAAAATTTGTCAACTTCAAAACTTTTATTCAGAATCATTTACAAAAGTATTTATAATCTTTCAAGTTAAACTATATTATTTGAATACTCATTTCTTCTACCTACCTAAATCACAAATTCAAGAGACTTCATACCTCAAATTTTATTCCAGAATGTTTTCAACTTCGTGATTTAAAGAAGGAAACATCTTCAACTACAACTGATTTGTTCATATGTTACACCTCAGTTTTGTTAAAGAGGAGTGTCATTTTGAATTCAGATATGAATTCAGATTGCTTAAACAAAGACATCAATGTAGAATAACCTGTTACTTTGAACAATGATACCATCAAGAGATGTTCCCGAGTACATTATTGTTCAACGATTTCTCATCGAGGCCATAAATGTTTATATGAGTTTGACTGTGCTTGAGTTTGGGAACATTTTTACCGACGGTACCATGCCAGCGGTTGCCTCTCTCCCTGGCACGGGTAAGCGTCGGCCTGGACAGATTTTTTTTTTTTTTTTTTAGAGAGTAGTTGTCAACCGTGCGGGTACTCGAGCATTCGACTACCCATCGCAGCCTTAGAAGGTAGGCACATTTTTGTTTCAAGAGGGAAAAAAAAACCTGGTCTTTTACCTCTGAATCCACCACCTCTTCCTCCGCCACGCCCTCTGAATCCACCCCTTCCACCGCCCCTCTTGGCGACCCTCCCTCCAGCCTGGGGGAGAAACCTCTGCAATGGAAGCAGCTTCATGGGATCGATGAAGAACTGTGAAAGATCAAAGACAAATGAATGAATATGAATATGACGTCAATGCATCGTTGCCTAACATATTCTAACATATATACCAGGCCCTGAGGCCCCCGTTTCGTAAAACTCGTTATCAATAATAAGTTATGATAATTGTAATACTACTATGTGATACTGTAGCCCCTCACTGCAGCCCCTTCACTCTTGCTACTCTTATTCCACCTTCCCAATTCTTGATGTTGTCTATCCATCCATCCCACAGGCATCTACCAACTTGACACTTCCATTCAACTTTGCCTTGGATAGTACCGGTAGCTAGTACAACACTCTTCTCTCTTTTTTTTCCAGTGCCCATACTTTGCGATCTTTCTTTTCACGACTTGTGCCATGTAATCAGTATAAGCTACTGAAATTCTTGCATTCGAATGGTTATGAGCAGATTTGTCATAGATCTGTTTAGTTGTTATTGATAACAAATGCTAAATTTCTATGACAAATATGCTCTCAGCCAATCAAATGCCACAATTTCAAAAACTTATTACAGTTATTTAAAACAGGTCCCAAAACCAAAGCCAGAAAATGATGAGAGCTAACAGTGTCATGAACGGCCTGCCATAGTCGAGTCCAACTTAAAGTCGATCTTACTAGTCTTTGTGAAACATCCCCCAGGTGAGGTACCCACTGAAAGTAATAACTCACCTTTTGGTCTTTACTAAATGATGATGCTGACATGTTATCTGATAATTTGATGGAGAAAAACTGTTGTGAAAAGAGAAATTAAGGAAATAACAAAAGAAATTCACACATTCCAGCTATTTCGGTTCTCTTCTAATGAAAACAATGTTGACTGTCTACACTACATTGCATCTGAATGTAATATGTTATACTGAAGCTAATCTCCTTGGATCATTTTGACTGCACAAAAGGTACCAATGGCATAGAAAAGCCGAAACTTGTGTGCTTTTATCTTAGAAAAGAGCATCTAGATATAGAGTGTATGAGCACTCCTTTCACATCACAAAATATAAAACACAGAGAATCGTCTGTAAATTCCTATGAAGTTATTTCACCAACGCATTACAAAACGCAATACTTTATAAAAACAGAGCTCTAATTATGTGGAAAAGGATACATATTTTGTGAGATGTCCAAATATTTCATCCACTTTGCCGATCTGCTGCTTGTTTTCCAAAAAGATGGGGGCGTTGAAGTAGGGGATCTTTTCATTGGTGCCTTGGACGACCAGATCATCTTGGCAAGGGTGCACGAAGGAGCCAACCTCTAAAAAGCGAACACACACACATAAATCAACTGATGAATTCATGTTTCAATAAGTACAAAGACACTAACAATTCTCTGCTATAAAGCCTTTCTCCAAAATTGAAACATAAAACAAATGTATGATGTACAATGTAACCCTGTAAACGATCATCGGATCGGCCGCCGATACCGATCCGATCAGGGGTGATCAAGGAATAATTTCTGATCGCCGATCAATTAAAATGATCGGGAAAAAAATCGGCAGATTTTTTTTTTTTTTTTTTTTTTTTATGACGAAATTTTTCAAGTTTTTGGCTATCAAATGCTCAAAAAAAGTTCATGGCTGGGATTATTTTGTCATTTGGAGTTGTTGTAGACCACTTTTGTTGATATTTAGTGCCTTTTCATGACTTTGAAATTAATAATATTGGTCTAAGAGCAGAGGCAAAACATGCGGGCCGCCATCTTGGATTGTAATGCATACCTACATTATTATTCAAGATGGCGGCCCGCATGTTTTGCCTCTGCTCTTAGACCAATATTATTAATTTCAAAGTCATGAAAAGGCACTAAATATCAACAAACATGGTCTACAACAACTCCAAATGACAAAATAATCCCAGCCATGAACTTTTTTTGAGCATTTGATAACCAAAAACTTAAAAATTTTCGTCATTAAAAAACAACAAAAAAAAACCTACATTATAATCCAAGATGGCGGCCGCATGTTTTGCCTCTGCTCTTAGACCAATATTATTAATTTCAAAGTCATGAAAAGGCACTAAATATCAACAAACATGGTCTACAAGAACTCCAAATGACAAAATAATCCCAGCCATGAACTTTTTTTGAGCATTTGATAGCCAAAAACTTGAAAAATTTCGTCATTAAAAAAAAAAAAAAAAAAAAAAAAAAAAAAAAAAAAAAAAATCGGCTGATTTTTTTTGTCGCTCTTCCGATCCAATACCGATCAAAGGTGCGAGGGTGTCGCTCCGATCTTCCGCTCCGATCTTCCGATCCGATCAGAGCCCCAACTTACAGGGTTAGTACAATGTAATTTATTAAATTTCAATTCAATATATTAATTTCATAAAATACAAAGATATAATAAAAAATAAAATTGTGCCTCGGAAAATTGCATTAAAAAGCCAGTGGCTTGCAATGACACTCCCCTTACAATCAGTGTAATGAAAACAGCAAGTGACATCTGGGGGCTGTTTCTAAAAAACATCATAAGTCTAACTTCTTGGACATCCCATTTAAACTATAGAATTAATACATGTTTCTAGGGGATGTCCAAGAACTTAGACTCAAGACGGTTTCGGGACACTGGAGGAAACGTGATAATCTCTGGATCTTAGGAAAGTGAAACAGGTGGAAGAACAAGAGAATAAGTTCAAGAAGTCTTGATGTCCTTGTCATGGACTGAAGAATATTTTGATTAACATTTTTACCTGTGACATAATCAGGTGGACCTTGGTTATAATAATTTCCACCACCTCCTCCTCCTCCTCTGCCTCCCCTTCCTCCTCTCCCTCCCCGAAATCCTCCTCCTCGTCCTCCACCTCCACCTCTGAAACTGCCTCCTCCTCCTCCTCCTCTACCACCTCTCCAAGACATCTACAGGTAGGAAGAAATGACATGTAATAGTATTTTTTAGAAACAAGTCAAAATTACAGACCTATTTAAATTGAATTAACAATGTAGAAAGTGACCATTCTGAAACATTTTAATAAAATCTATAGTTCTGACCATGCTGAAGAAAGGACACATAGCAGCATTACTATCCTGGCTGTGTATAAAGTTGGGCAACACTGTACTGTAGCGCATTCATGATGCAACATTTTGTAAAACCTTCTGCAGCTACCGTACTTAACTTTTATCATACATATCATTAACAACTCAATATTGATGATAAATAACAAACAAATAAAATTTACCGGTTTCGTTAATGAAATTTTACTTGAGTGTCCAGTAATTAAGCAACAGTTTGCAAGTCTTCTGCCGATTGGGTCCATCATACTCAACTCTGTACCTCCATTTTTTAATGTTACGTAGAGTAAAGGAGCCGGTAATCGGCCAGCTCCAGTTTTCGGCCGATTGGTTGGATGCAAGGTAAAATCCCTCTAAAATACAGCGCATAATAGCATAACACATATATCCCACACATACCATACCATGCCAGTGTCACTGAAGAACCACATTTGCAATGGAAAATATATCCTAAAATATCACATTTTAGCGATGTAATCGCCGGTCCCGCTACCCGAATCCGAAAAATCGAGTATCTTACGCGTGTCTGTAAGAAATATGGGTACCATAAAATGAGCTTTATTTCAAGTATTTTTCAGATTTAGAGCCCGATTTTGTGCTAGTCGCAAGCTCAAAAGTATCTCATCGCATGTATTAAATCAATGCAGCCGCACACACAATATCTCTGTCTAATTCAGATTCCAATATCCGATCACCGCAGTACTAGTTTTCGGCCTGGCGAGCTCCGGAGAGCTCCGGCGTGGGATATCTGCTCCGCCCGCAAGTGCTATAGATCAGCGCGGAAACGCACGGCGCGTGCGCGCTTCCTATTGACTTTGTACATGCGGCCGAAAACTGGTACGCTATGCCGAAAACTGACTCCGAAACAGTGAAAATTGAAATGAATATTGTCATGGCAATTCGTGATTTTTTTCTGGGATTCTTGTTTTGTTTAAATAATAATAATATTTGCTTCATGATTTGAACAAAAAATGATAATAAATAGGAAGTAAAGGGTCCAAACAATAGGATTTTGTCTTAAGTGGCCGAAAACCGGCTCCTTTACTCTAGAGTAGAGTCTCCGGTTTGCGGCATCGCCCGGTTTGCGGCCAGGGGTATTTGTTTTAAAAACAAAATGAATATGACTCGATAATAATCATTGAAACCTACCGTGGATTTCACGGTAAGTTCTGCTTTGCCAAAAACGTCCGTAGCAGGTGCTCCTGTCGGTACGGAGTATCCGTCAGCGATGTTGGAAATCTACGGCACCAGTCGCCGATGAAAATTCCAGCAGGTGCTAACTTTTAAGTTAAGAGATCGAGGCATGACTAGATCAATATTGTAGCTCTATTTGTCCGATATTTGTCCGATTGGAGGTGAAATTTGATGTTTTTGTGGAAGTATGATGGCTGTGGTCTGTCTCCTATCGCAGATATTTTGATTGTGCCACCGCATGGCCAGTTGCATGGGGTGGCCGCAAACCGGCACGTAATTACGTGTTTTTTCTGGTTTGCGGCGGGGGGTGTTAATGGGCAGGTCCAAGCTATTTGCTTTGTGACGTACGGGACATTCAGAGACTTTAAACAAGAAATAACAATGGATGACATTATTTGTATGACTATCTTTTGGTATGAGTCTGTGGCTATTATGGGCTAGTTCATTTGTGGAAAGTTTTAGTTCTGACCAATTCATAAATTAATTTTTAATGCAATTAATGTGCTGCGTGACGTACGGGACCAGAGAATTTCTGACTTTTTCAAAAATAAGTTCATCATAAAAGTTCTCTGAATTTATTAAGTTATGAGATTTATGGTAATGATATCTTAATTCATTATGGAATCAAGCATTAATCACAACTATTACCTTTCGTTATTATGTAATATACCAAAACATAAATGTGTGCATGTGACGTACGGGACACGTGACGTACGGGACAACTTTTCCCTATGGGAAAATGCATTGAAATGGAGAATTTTCGTCAAAATTTGTTAAATGTGAACAATTTTAACTTAAATCAGTGACAATTAGAGTGTTTTAGAACCCAATTAGATCCTCTGACCATCACTTAATATCATCTGTGTTAATTTATGAGGTAAATCAATACAAATATTACTTTAACAAAGAAAACAATTAATAATTAATATTCATACACACTATATTACCATTTTTATTCCATTTACCCATCTATCATGTGCAGCCATGCTTCTTTTCTCATTTCTTTAATCCATTCCATTCAACATTGCAAAATATTTTTAAACAATAATTAATGAAGAAGATGAACTTGAACTTGAAAACTTTTATTTCAACTTGTTTGAAACACAGGGGCACACTCGGCACATCATATTTTGTCAAAGAACATTTCTTATGTTCTAAGTGCTTGTGAACAAAGATACATTAAAAATATGAAGTAGCTTGTTTGAATTATTTGATAGTAATATCATAGAATTTTGAAGGAATTCAAAGATAAGGCTGGACATATTGTCTTTTTTATATCCTTTTATCACAGATTAGAACATGAATAATGTTGCTGTCATATATTCAAGAATTTTGATGTACATTAATGTAGCCTACATGTTTGTGAAAGATGGATACAAAAATATAAATCTTGAATGTATTCCGTATTGATTAAAACATCTTATTAACACCACCAGATATAAGAAATTAAAACCCTAAAGGTTTGGGTGACCTTTTCCACAATTCAAAAGATTAATTTAAAGCAAACTCAACAAAAATGCATGGGTTTAAAAGTGATAAAAATCGTAAGTGGGTGAGAGTGTGAAATACTCAAAAAGGCTATCCTTCCTTAAAAGTTATGATTTAGTTATTAGGAGATCAGAATTCCCGAGCTGGCTCCATAACATGTACAGTGCATGCTGTAATCCTTTACCATCATACATGTATATGACATTTAAATAGAATATTAAAAAACCTCACATGGAGAGCTTGATAGCATACATGTGCTATTCTTATGTGCAGCATCTATGAGTTGTAAAAGCCAGCTTCTGGTGCATCCACTACCATATACATGTAATTTCATTAGACTCATTCCAGGAACTAGTACACTATTATGATAAACATATTTAGCATCTTGCCAATGTTGGAGACATCAACTGGCAAAATACCAAAGTTGATAATACCAGGGGTCTGGCTTGAAAACTAATTACAATTATTACATTAACAACAATTACATAAAACAACAACAAAAGTACAAACAAGTAAATTCCTAGAAGGGACCCAGTTGGAATGTTCATATATCCCTGTATACAATAAGTTTCCTAACACAGTAGGGCAATTCCACGGTAACGGAAGGACACTCAGACAAGATTTTTGAACTTCAGGTTCATACTAAAAGAACTGTTTTATTAGTATAAGATGTGAAACAGTACAGATATAATACCTATATAAGTGCCTTTAATTCTCCCCCAAAAAATTGTCATTATAGTTAAGTAGTTAAGAATGTGCATATTAATTATCTCGGTAACGGAAGGACATAAAAATGGACATGGTTTTTCCAGTTAATTAGTGTTTATCCAAACTTTGTGAAGTTGATGAAGCTTTCCACTTGACTGAAACACATTTTGTTCCCCATAGTTTAATCAGGGATATGTGAGTTTAAATGGATACCCCATCTAAGAGGGCCCTTTGAAGCACTGCGAGGCACCGAGAGTCTTTTTTTCCCCTATCATAATCCCCTTAATCCCCCTCCCGGACCGCACAGCTCGTAAATCTCACTCCCGAAACTGAGTGACATAGGGCTCGCGAAATGCATTGTTGGAAATACACATCGGCTGCTATCAACAAAAATGGCGGCATACAGTAGGGATGAGTATTTGCTAGGCGACGATTTAGACTTTCTGACTGGTTTTGAGGAAGATTTAATTTATGGGAAGTTGGAGACCAACACAAGTTTAATATGCACGTGTGAAATTCCATCAACGGAAAATCTTAATCGTTGCAGGAAACCAGAACGTATGGTTAAATGGTTTCATCGTGAATGCGTAGGCCACTCCAGCAAAACATAGATAGTTGATGCGTATTGACTACTAGCACTGCAGTACGTGTAAATAGGCAGCATTTGAATACATGAATAGTCAATACACTCACGACATACAAATGCACGTAATTATACCGATGCGGTTGATCGGCAAGTTTGACAGTAGACTCACGATTTTAATTTTCAATTATTCTTTCTAACATCGGAAAGTTTAACAAATTGTATTTTAATGCTCTTTAGGTGTCATCAATCGTCACTTAAGTACTGACTTTGAGTGAAATCAGTTGAGTTTTGTACAGTGGAGTTTGAAATGTTGAGAATCAATAGCACAATTTTTAATATACGGCCAGGGTAGTAATGCAGCTATGTGTGTTTCCTCCCACAACATGCAGCATGTACAGCCCAGCGAGCACGGTGGCTTGCGCGTCGCCTGCCCGTATTCGGGGTGAAAAGTGGTGATGAATTGACAACTTCTAACCCTCATTAAACCAAATGCGCAAATATACAACACAATTTCATTTAGTTATTTTAAGAGATAAACTTATGGACTACCTTCCTAGCTATGTAAAAATTTCGGAAACTTTCGGAAAATGTCAATAATTAGAAGAGAACACGATGATGATGAGAAACTTGCATTCACTCTAACTCACGATTTCCTTGGTCGATTTCGCTGGTTCAGATGGCTACGTCTTCAGTAGAGTTATCCGAGCACAGCGAAAGCATTTGATAACCAATAGAAGGTTGTATTGTGCCATAAGTTGTCGATTTTTGTATTTTATATGTTATAGCTATATACATCTTCCATGAGTATGACGTCATTTTCTCGGTGACTCGCATGGCTTCAAAGCCTTTTTTTTACGACCAAGTGTTTGGA